TAGAATCTGTTGTACTGTATTTTATATTTTAATAGGGATAGAATCTGTTGCACTGTATTTTATATTTTAATAGGGATAGAATCTGTTGCACTGTATTTTATATTTTAATAGGGATAGAATCTGTTGCACTGTATTTTATATTTTAATAGGGATAGAATCTGTTATACTATATTTTAATAGGGATAGAATCTGTTGCACTGTATTTTATATTTTAATAGGGATAGAATCTGTTGCACTGTATTTTATATTTTAATAGGGATAGAATCTGTTGCACTGTATTTTATATTTTAATAGGGATAGAATCTGTTGCACTGTATTTTATTTTACTCTTCTCTCACCTAGATATTTCAATCAAACTTTGCCAAATATTCTGTGAACTAGTTCAACAGACCCATTTGGTATCTGTGTATTAATAAACAGTAACGAGTACTGGAATTTTTAATTTTCTTTAATGTGCTTATAAATAAATCTTAGTAAAATTTGTACCAGTTATCTTGATAATGAAAGATAACTTTTATTTATTTATATTATTTGTTACAAACTAGCATAGCAGTGGCTATCAGGATAATGTTACTGACCAGTGTTAGTTTGTACTCTGACATCAGTTGTTACATTGTCGCACTAAATCAGGACAATGAGACTGATCAGTGTACTAGTGGCTAAACGTTGTGAATCATTTTAGCACAGTAGTAACTCGGGACAATATGACTGACCAGAGTACTAGCATGGCAGAGACTCAGGACAATGTGACTGACTAGTGTATTAATGGCTAAACGTTATAAAATTTCTTTAACCATGGTGAAAATAACCTTAAGGGACTTCTCTGACCTCTTTATTACATTCTTTTATAGCATGCTAGTAACTCTCTGGTTAACCTTATTGAAATTGGTACTTTACACTAATGTTTTTTTATCATTCAAAGAAACCTTCTTATTGTTGATGGATGATCTAGCAATGTCTTCTGCAGGTTTTTTTATTATTAATGTTTATATTTTTAATGAACAAAAACCAGCCAGAAGTAGTGTAACAAAAATATACGTTATAAAGAATGTATCTCGTGAACCAGTAAAACAACATCTGACCCTGGTATACTTCAGAAGGTAAGTGATAGTGGTTCATCTCAGAGCCATACAGCAAGAACTCAGACTCTTTACTTCTACTTAATAAGTGCCTGTAGTTTGTTTCTTTAATAAGAGTCAGTTGTTTTGTAACTAGATCCAACATGTAAATGACACTTTCCGAATGTGTATAAGAAACATTGCTAGTCGTGAGGAGCTCTGCCTTATATTATTCCTCATACAAATTGTAGAAAAAGTTATTTGAAAGTTTCTTGTTTAGTATTATTAACTATACAGTGACTATGAACAAAAACCCACATTATTCAGCTTCGAGTATACATCAGCGGTCAAACAAAACTCAATATTCCAAGAAATTTTAGTAAAATATGTTGCTCACCACATTGTTTTTTTTTTGTCTAATGCAAAGTATTTTTGCAAGAGTTCTTAAAAAAACGTGAGAGACAGTTTTTTTAACTGCTTGTCAAAGTCTGTTTTGTATTTTAGTGGCATGCATAACATAGGTCTTATTTTTTGTTTTTCATATTGACATTAAGTCATCAGCCAACAGTTACCAAGTGTTTTATCAGTATAGTCAATGTGGGAAGTCTTTAACTTTTGAAATTTGTCTTAGAACATTATATGGGAAGTCTTTTAACTTGTGAAAGTTGTCTTTGAACATTATTAGCTATATAATATCAAATTTATGTAATGATACATATAAGACAATGGTCTACAACAAGATTAAAAACTTAATACAGATTGATTTAGATCTTAAAAATCTAATCCTTATATTCTAAGAATAGTAGCAAACTCCTTCACAGCACACTTGAAACTTTATACACAGTTGTAGGCCTGAAACTTGTTTGGTAACAAGTATTTAACTAAAATTTCCCAAGATAACACTGTTTTATAAAGTACTGCATAATTCATTTTGTATGGTTTTTTAGTGAAAGTTAGTTTATGTATTGGTTGTTTGATTATTTGGTTTTGTCCAAAACCACAAATTTGGACAAACAAATTATAATATATATGTATTACTTTTATAAGAATAGATAGAATACCAAGAAACTGTGGGAGATTGTGAAATTTAAGCTAAATAACCTTTGCGATTACTAGAAATGCAATCCTCAAGATGTATTCATTTTTAAGATAAAAAGAAACAAATGGTGAAATTCACAAAATGTTAGTTTTTGTTGAAGAATTATCTATGCTACTTCTAATTGCATCTTTGGAAGTTTCTTTAAAATCCTCGTGAACTTTTACTACATACAAAGTTTAACTAGTTCTTTGTTTAAATTCCACAGAAGTAATTTTAATTTATTTCTATTCAATCTTTTACACAGAACACTATTACAATGGCAAAATCTCTGAATGTTAATCGGTAGACTTAGAGCTTCAAGGCCAATGTCCCCTTTAATTTTTTCAATCAATGTGCGGAATGAATTTTTTCATGTGCACCGGTATTAAGGCAATGTGCACTATAAGTTTGTTTTTAGGGGGGGGGGTAATTTTTAGACCATCAACTCTATTAGATCATTAGGCCACATTGCAATGCTACCAGCTTGATATTTGGACTTTAGGCCTATCGACTGCCACTATTACTGAGGATGTGCCCTGCTGTAATAATGAAGTATGTGACACTTTATTGGTTGTTGTGTGGCCGTGCAGCGTAGAGGCGAACACCATGAAAGACAAATATAGCTTGGGGAACTGTAGTACCTTTCATCATAATTACACCCTGATATCTTCTAAAAATCCTCATAAATATTTAAAGAACATTAATTGTGTTGTAGCTATTGTTAATTTGATAAATATGTACAAGTTTATTTTGAAAAAAGTGTTAGGACACGAGGTTTCTAGCCATAAAAGCTGTTAATGCTAGATAGTCAAAGATATAGC